CCTTCGCTCCGCTCAGGCTGGCGGCTCTTCGACGACAGCACAGTCACCACCGTCGATGAGAGCCAGGTGGTAACCAGATATGCGTATGTCCTCTTCTACCGCCGGAGGAACTCTCCTGTGGAGAGACCCCTGCCAGGGCACCCCCCAGACCACCGAGCCGAGCGCACTCCCTCTGCCGAAGCTGCTGCCAGCCAGGTGAGAGCTCGCGTCCCTTTCGGCACTGTTGGAGTCACAGAGCCTTAAAACGCGCCCAGGTGCCCACACGCAGGGCCCAGCCTGTCTCTGCCAGCCCCCACCGAGCCTGGCGCAGCTGCGGTGCAGTGCCTGCCCCTCTTCGACACCGAAGAGCTTGCGCCGGCTAGACGTTGGGGCCTGTCTTGCCCTATTCTCGCTGTGAGCTTGGGACAGTCCCTGCCCTGAGGGACTACAGGAGAGCTGCTTCCCGTCATCAGGGTGGGAGTGCTGGTGGGAGGACACCAGAGGAGGCCTAGCCTCGCCAAGGTCTGTGCCGCAGGAAGGCTATGAGCGGTGCAGGAGCGGGCTGTGCTGGGGAGCAGTGAGAACCTGCCCTCCGCAGCCACTCTCGAGGCAGGGTGGGGGACGCTTTCTGCTGGGGCCCAGCTCGGGGCCAAGCTAGGTGCAAAAAAGGCAAATGCCAGCACTGAGCCAGGGGCCTGGCAGCCTTCGCAGGGTGCTGAAGAGAAACCTGCCAGAGCGAGCTCTGCTGCCGGGCCGCCTGGGAGGGAGGGGTGGGCCAGCCGGCAGGGTGCTTTCAGCACGCACTGGCGGGGAACGGTTGGGCTGATCTTTGTGTGAACGTCAGACAGGAAGGCCCAGGATGGGATGTGGTGCAGCGCCCACCTGGCCAGCCCCCCCTGCATCACTGTGCTGCAGCCCTTCCCTCAGCACTCGGCACCCCCGCGGCCTCGCGGGGTCTGAGAACGATGCTCAACTCATCTTTGGCACAGCTGCACGCGTGTCCCATGGGGCCCTTCTGGCCTGGCCTCCCAGCCCACCTGGCTCC